AGAGGCGGTGCTGAGGGCCAGGGTTTGGGGGTGGGATGGCAGGGGTAGGGGAATGGTTGGGCTGGGGGAGCTTAAAGGGCTTTCCCAACCCAAATGATTTTATGAATGTATGAATGTACCCAGGTAGCTGGTGCAGGCCCCAATTGCTCTGGTCCTCATGTTGTGGCCGGTGGCACTGGAGCAGGGTGCCAGGAGGTCAAACTGTGCCCTCCACAAAAGGTAATTTGTAGTAGCTGAAAATAACAGGCTATCCGAAAAATCTTCCCCAGCCCTAGGGGATGGATCCAGCAAACCATCCTGGGTAGAAGAGCTCATGGAAACGGCCAAGGCTCTGCATACCCAGTGGCTGGCTTGATGCAAGAGGGGTTCATGCTTGATGTTGGCCACCTCGGCGCAACATCCAGGTGGTGAAGTTCTTCTCCATGAAGGTTTTCAGTGCAGGAGAAGGGAAGGTGTGTGTCCGCGCTGTGTTCTGGAGAGCTATGATTCCCGAATTTGAACAAGAAGGGACTTGACCCTTTCTGGGAGATGTAGGTGGTGAGGGACATCAATGCCCAAGGTTATTGAGAAGAACCCAATTTACCCACTTCTTCCCAAGCACTGGGTGTAGATAGCTGTCACAATGGTAAGGGTGTCGCTGGTGATGGTGCTTTATTCTGGAGATGTATGTGGCTAAAAAACCCCACAGAAAACCCCCAAACCCCACAAAGGTGGCATCCCAAACCTGATCCAAAGGAAGTTAAAGCTGATAGAAAGATACCCATTAGAGGGAAGGGAGGCGAGGAGGAGGAAGGATTTCTTCTCTCTGGGCTTTTGTTTTTTGTGGGTGGGGTTAAAACTGTTAAATGTGTTTAGGTGGTGCATATTTAGCATGTGGAGAACACTCTGGTTTAGAAAGGATATTTATACACAATGAGAAGTAGGGTAGTGGGTTGCTTTTGTATCTGAACCCGGTTTCTAACATGTCACCAAGTGTTTTCACAGAAGTAGTGTCCAATCTATATCACCATGTTTTGGGTTTTTTTTTCCAAATTCTGAAAATCAAATTGTCTACATATATATTTATTTATTTCTCATTCCCCCCTGTATTTGAGAATTCCATAAAAACCAAGTTTACCTATAATTAGCAGCTTTTTCTGCTTCCCCCCTACAATGTCTTTATTGAAACAGAACGGGAGCATCTAAGACCATTGCTTGTCTCAGGCAGACGGGCTGGAGTCAGCTTCTGAATTCAGGACCTGGTCACTGAAGCCCTAATAGGATGCAGAGGCTTGGAGAAGCATCTAGCTGTGGTGGGAGCTTCAGGTCTGGACACCCCATCATGAGCCTTGCAAGAGCCCTGTGTTGGTGCATCTTTGCCGGCGTGTTTTTATGTGTTCAGTCTTGACTGAAAGCTAGAAGGACGAGGCATGTGCGTGTTAAAAAAGAAAAAAAAGAAGAGGGGCTAAACTTGCCTTAAATGAAATGCCTATTTTCTTTTTTAACTTGGATTAGGGAGCTGAAGGGTTGGTAACACAGATATTTTGATAGATGGGAAGAGTGGTCCGGTAGTTTGAATATTAAAGAGAGAGACAGAGTGTGCGTGTGTGTATGTTCCTCTTATTCTCGAGTGTAAGGAGCATTTGTCACCACAAATCATCCTTGATTGCAGAGAGCTGCATTTGTATAGGGCTCACCCACCCACCACCCTCAAAAAATTAGACATTTGTTATATGACATGAATTGAGATTAATTAGCGAATATTAACCCATCAAGCAGTACAGAAACACATTTTTGGAAGCAGTGGTACTTGCAGCAACAGTAGGTTTGTGTTAGTTCTGGTTGGAAAGTTTGCAACAAAATGTGGTGGTGGTGGGGGGGTTGCTGGAAAATGCCAGTTTATCAAAACCAAAACTTCTACAGGAATTAGCAGCTTTTCTTTGGAAAAATGTAAGAAGTGCTTGGGCCCTGGCGAGGAGCTGCATCTGGGAAGGAGGTTCCTCAACCCCAACTCTTAACACGTTACTTGAGGAGCAGAATTTGGGGTCACCTCAAAAAGGCTACAAAAGCCACAGGCTCGGCAAGGAGGGGGGGGATGTCAGAAAGGGTCCCAGAGCTGCCTCTGCCTCCGCTGCGAATGCAGGGCTGATATTTGGGAAATGTGAATGTTGGGAACCAGAGCCCTCCAAAGTGCTGTTGGGTTGTGTTGCAGTTTGGAAAAATATTGTTAAAGCAAACGAGCAGGTCTCTAGTAGGAAGTAAGTCCACAGAGCCATTTTGCTGCTAAAACACGTGAAATAAGGGCAAATAGTCAGCAGGACCCCTACTAATGGGGTACGTGTCCATGGAAACAACCCAACCTTGTTTTATTGGATTAAAAAAATATAATTCTGTCCTTTTTAAGAGCTCAGATCTAAGCTGTCCTTCATAGCTCAGTGAAGTCCCTTGCAGCATATTTCCATCATACCTGCTGAAATCCGTTATTTAAGAAGAGTTTGTCTACTGGCTTAGTAAGGGGAGTTAAAACCAGCCCCGGGATGTACCATCAGAAGAGACAGCTGTCAATCAGCAGTGCCTGGTTGGCCCAGACCAACTGGTAGCCCAGTGCAAGGACATGTTTGACTTAGTAGATCAAAATGTTGGGGATCACTGTGGGAGTTGGAAGCATGTCTGAACCCCAGCAGCTGGAAATACTGGTATGTCTTTGTGTCAATGCAGTTCTGATTGTGGCAGCAGGTCCTTTTGCAAGTAAAAGAAAATTATCTTGATTATTATTCTCCTCTTAAGAATCACATCTTTGTCTCGGTGTAGGAGCGGCTCCTTGACTTGCAGAAACTTCTTGGCAGATTGATGCAAGCAAAGCTGAAGGGCTGTCACGGCAAACAGAAGCCTGCCATTTGGTATTGACCAGGGCCGCGTTGCTAATCATCATGCTTTTCTCATCCTCAGCTAGTGCCAATATCTGCAATGTTGTCCTGATGAGGCACACAGAGCTGGAAGAAGGAATTGATGTTTTGGACAATAACGGGAACATTGTCGGGTCTTCCAGAATTGCTGCAAAACACGTATGTACCTGTGATGTTCCTGGGGAACACTCGGGTGAGCTTGTACACAACTGGCCTTCAGGCTCAACGCATCCCACAGCCGTAGGAATCGATGGCTTGAGAGAGCTAGAAATAGATGAGCTTTACCCATCACGCAGGGAGACCGAAGCGGCAAGATTTAATGCCTGCTTTGTAGCCACGCATGCGGTGGCATAGCCACAACACTGAGCGGGCTGGTGGACACAGGCTCGTGTCACGCAGGCCGACTCGGTGGCTGACCTCGGTGGTTTGGAAGGGCGCAGATTGACATCGGGAAGATCCTGTACTGCTCTGATGCATTCACAGCCTTAGGATTTCTTTGTGGAAACTTGTAAGCGGTTCATGTTGAATAGGAAGCAAAGATAACTTACACCTTTTTCTAAATGAGGAAGACTTCATTTTCAAGCTGAGTAGCTTTTTAACCCTTGCCGTGTCAAAGCTGCATTCACAATTGCCAACCAAAGCTTTCTGAGGGTAGCCAGATGTCTTCATCCTCATCCTAACACCTGGTTTGTTTTCCCCTCCAACCTTCTACTCTCTGCCATCTGCCTGCAATTATTCCCTTTTCTTCCCTTCTTACATAGTTTTGCCTTTTGAGCATCATCTGATTGTCTGAGGCACGTTGTTTCCAAGTGGGCTTTAATCTGAAATGTAAAGCATGTACCGAAGCACACGCCCAGGCAGAGGAGTTAATAATATAATGCTTGGCATTTCTCTCGCTCCTTCTGTCCAAGGCTCTTAAGGCACTTCATAGACAGCAATTAATGTACAGATTTGCAGTCCTCGGCAAGAAATGGGAGATCTCTAATACATCTCCATATTGTTGTTTAACAGGGAGCTTAAAACAATCTGTTGAAGGGCTCAGAGATACTTATTTGAGCCAGTTTTCCTCACTTACATTAACTGGCTTCAGGACCCAGCTTCTCCTCTCCATCCTAATGGTCGAGGAGAAGACAGACAACATAGAAAATAAATATTAAAAATGAAGGTACTGCGAGTGTGATTTAGTTGGAGTCTAAACATCAGATTTGGGACTTCTGAGAACTTCTGCTCAGCTGCCACCTAATCCCGATGCTTCTTCCTGAATAGCTGGGGTTTGTTGTGGAAAATTTGGCAGATCCTTAGTGTAACACATCTCTCCATGACCTTCTCCTGTTGGGAAGGAGTGAGTGCTCCCAGGCCTCCCCGTGTGCATAAGCTTCAGCATTTCCAGCCAAAATCTATAGTGTCCCCTGCCTAGGTCTGCCAAAGCCCCCCGCGCTGTCACCCTGCTTGGAGCATCCCAGGTAGGTGCTGGCAAAGGTGGTTGGAAGAGGTAAACGAAGACACACAGTGGTGGTTAAACACCCAGCTAGAGCACCCATGATCTTCTCCAGGTCTCATCTCAGGGTAATTTATATGTATCGTGCTGCCAAGCTGTTCTGTTTGCTGCTTCCTGGTGAATCCTGCCAGGGAGAAAGCACCAGCGGAGGGACAACCGTAGCTCCGCAGTTGGGTGTCTTCCTGGGAGAGGCGAGTCCTGTGTGCTACGATGCTTTGCAATAAACCGCCAGTGATTAAAAACCAGAAACAAGCCTTGGAGCAGGAAATTAGGTACTGCGTTACCCCGGCGCTTAATTGGAATCGAAATTCAGTTCATGGAGGAAGGGTTGAAGCTGCTGCTCAGCCCATACTGAGATATTTCACCTTCAGCATCCTCCAGGCAGCCGTTTTGCCTCTCTTTCTTCCCCCAGGCAGCCCTAACATGTTTGCATGGGATTATGATGAGAACTTTGAGCACTTCTGCTCCCATAAAGTGAAATCGGGGAAGCTATTAGGTGTGCCTGTTTATTCTGCTGGATTTGTGACCAAGCATGGGCTCTAGCCCACCATTTGTAGCAACAGGAGGGAAAATGGGTTGTTCTACAAAGAGCTGGTAGCGAAGTTGAACGTGTGTGCTGCTGCATCCGTTCACACATGCGAGAGAAGAAAGGCCAGCCAAACCGTTTCTGTGCCCACGCGGCGATTGCTCAGCGCAGGTACATCCCGAGATTTGTTTTAAGTGCCTTGGGTTTGTTTGTTTGTTTGTTTTTCCTTTTCAGGCACTGCTAGAAACAGCCCTGACTCGAGTGGTCCTGCCAATGCCTATACTGGTTCTACCTCCAATTATTATGTCCATACTGGAAAAGTAAGTGTTGGGTAATACGAAGCGGGGGGGCTTTTCAAGGGGAAGGGAGAGACGATCGTAGAATCATAGAATCATAGAATCATGGAATCATAGAATGGTTTGGGTGGGAAGGGACCCCTAGAGGTCACCCAGTCCCACCCCCCTGCAGGGAAGCTGCTGCTCAGCCCATACTGAGATATTTCACCTTCAGCATCCTCCAGGCAGCCGTTTTGCCTCTCTTTCTTCCCCCAGGCAGCCCTAACATGTTTGCATGGGATTATGATGAGAACTTTGAGCACTTCTGCTCCCATAAAGTGAAATCGGGGAAGCTATTAGGTGTGCCTGTTTATTCTGCTGGATTTGTGACCAAGCATGGGCTCTAGCCCACCATTTGTAGCAACAGGAGGGAAAATGGGTTGTTCTACAAAGAGCTGGTAGCGAAGTTGAACGTGTGTGCTGCTGCATCCGTTCACACATGCGAGAGAAGAAAGGCCAGCCAAACCGTTCCTGTGCCCACGCGGCGATTGCTCAGCGCAGGTACATCCCGAGATTTGTTTTAAGTGCCTTGGGTTTGTTTGTTTGTTTGTTTTTCCTTTTCAGGCACTGCTAGAAACAGCCCTGACTCGAGTGGTCCTGCCAATGCCTATACTGGTTCTACCTCCAATTATTATGTCCATACTGGAAAAGTAAGTGTTGGGTAATACGAAGCGGGGGGGCTTTTCAAGGGGAAGGGAGAGACGATCGTAGAATCATAGAATCATAGAATCATGGAATCATAGAATGGTTTGGGTGGGAAGGGACCCCTAGAGGTCACCCAGTCCCACCCCCCTGCAGGGAGCAGGGACATCTCCAACCAGATCAGGTTGCTGATGCTCGGGAGGTATTGTTCATTGCTATTTCTTAGCACTGGTCCATCAAAGACTTTGTTTTTTGCTTATTAAAATGTTCATGTTCCAGTGTTTTTGACCATTGTTGTAGGCTCTTAAAGTGTTGTATTGAAGTGGTCGTTTTCAATCTTCTTTCTGAGACCCCAGCAGTTTGAATAATCCTATTCTGGAGGGTCAGTGTGAGCCAGAACTCCCTGAATTCAGCGGAAGTGTCCCTAAGTTTTCAGTCCTCCATTTAGCAAACATCAGAGCTTCCACATGGGGTCAGACTAAAAGTCTCAGCCAGTGATAGGGAGCGTAGGGACTTGCTGACCACCTTGGCCACTGTTGGACTTGCTTACGCCCTGCTTGAACTCACTTGTCCTTTCTTTCAATGACCTCCTGTGGCTTGGACTTCCCCAGAAGAATATATGCTTCATATATTCTGCAGAAATTTGTTTTCTGTTGCTGTTTAAGCCAGAATCTCTCCGGGCAGGTGTCTCCCTGGAGCATCAGTGCTAGGAGAGTGGGGCAGGAAAGGGCACGGTTATTATTTCATGTCTAGTTATCTCCTAGCAGAGTTCTTAATAGCAAAAAGAAAAAAACCCAACCCAAACCCAAACTGCCCTGTCGATTGGCCAGTCTTCCAGCACCTCTGCTTTATCTTCTGCCTAGAGATGCTGTGAGCCTGTTTGGAGCTGTTGGGCGCCTACTGCTCCTTAGGACACCCATCAGCCGCTCCTTCGGTGTGAATGATCTGTGGGGTGGGCTTCACCTTGCCAACCTCTGGAGACTGATCAGCGCGTTGAAAGATGGGCTTGCTAAAGGGCCTGCTACCTTTGTCCAGACAGCCAAGCTGGAAGCACTCTTTAAACAAATCTGTTGATAATGGCTGCTCTAAAGCACTCCACTGACAAAGTAAATAGCAATTAGTACGATTAGGGATTGACCCATAGCTTTGGTTAGCCTTGTTTACCCTTGTAGAAACACCCCTGGGCAATTTTCTCTCCTTAACGGAAGGGTCGGGGCTGCTTCTGTAAATTTGGAGTCTGACTTTTAACATCTGAATTTAAAAATATTGATATAGCCTGATACCCCTCTAGCCCCTGGAGGCTCTCACCCCTAGAGGTTCCTCCCATGGCCTGGGTGTGGGGAGAAACAGGGCAACAAACCCTGTTTTGGGAACTTTAAAGTAAGTTTTTTCAGCCCTTTTCAGCCAAAATACACCATTTTCCTCTCTTTTTCAAAGGGACTGTGGTGGTTCCCTGCGGCAGGGCGCAGTCTTGGTAACGCTCCCTGCAAGCCACCGTTTGGAGACGGCTGCTGGAGACACACAAGGGCAAGGGGTAGATTCCAGTTCCCCTAATTTTGTGCCAAGCATTTGACTTTCACTTCATGCTCCTCCTTGACAAAAGCTCTGCAGCCGCTTCCCTGCTCCAGGACCCTGTGTCACCCACATGGTCCCCTGGCCCATGATCTACCTGCAGGAGGGGTGCTCAGGAGTGACGGTGCCTTACTCTGCAGTACCTTACTTGCTCCAAATAGTGTGTAAGAACAGGGATTGTCACTTATCTTTGTACCCCAGCATCTTGGCAGCTTCCCCACTTCAAATGCAGACGCGTGATTCTAGCCTTTATAATCCCATCAAAGCTGCTTTGCTGTTGTCAGTCGAGAGGACTTCTGTTTTCATCTGTCCACATGCCAGACACTTCAGAAATGCCACCGATTTGTGATGTTCTTACCACGGAACTCTTTCTTTTCGCCTTTCTGTTGCACTGAGGCTTTTCTCCGAAGTGGCTCCATGTGTTACCGCTGGCTTAACATGGGCACTGGTTCCAGCCTGACCATACTTTGGTGATTAGCTCATCCAGAAAAGATCACCCCAGAGGGCAAACTATTTTATCTGTGTAATTCAGAGGATCTTTGCTATTCTGGTTATCAACATGGTCGTGGTTTAACTCAGCCAGGGGCGTACCTGCTCTGTCGTGGCCTTATCCATGACCACACGCTTTGAGGTGCTCCAGCATGACCTCATGCACGGCCACTGATGCTTCCAGCTGTGCCTGCTGCAGCATGGACTTGGCCACCACAGCTGATGCTGCAAGGTGTACCTTCTCCATCGTGGGCTTATCCTTGGGCCACAGTCCCGTCAGAGGTAGACCTGCTGTGGCACAGGCATGACCATGGCTGCAGACACTTCGAGATGTACCTGCTCTGGCATGGGCTTGTCCATGGCCACAGATGCTTCGGGGTGTCGTGCTCCCATGTGGATTCATCCACAGGTCACGATCCCTTCCACTCAAGTTCATACTGGAGTTGAGCCTGTCCAGTGCAGCGGCACAGACACAGCAGCGATGCCCTGGCCATCGGCTAGCCCAGGCCCACCCCCATGGCTGTTACCAAAACGTTCCCGGCACAGTGAGTGAGATGATCAGCAGGGCAGCGGTACAGCGAGCAGCAAAAGCAAAAAGCAGCCGCTAACGAGCACCAGGCTCTCATCTACAGTCAGGCGAGCAAGCCCCATGGCAAGCACAGGAGCCTGCCTGTTAATCGCTAAATAGCGATAAAAGCTGTAAATTTGATCTAGCATATTCCAGTAGAATCTGTCGTTATCTCAAGCCCCACATTGGGCCCCAAAAAGGACTGTCGTGGTTTAAGCCCAGCCAGCAATTAACCACCACGCAGCCGCTCGCCCACTCCCCCCTGGGGGGACGGGGGGGGG